TTTTTTTTTTTTTTTTTTTTTTTTTTTTTAAACTTCTGTAAAATTTCTTCCATTGAGTACAACTGAAGCTCTCAGATGATCTCATCACAACTCCTCTCCATAGTTATTTGGGCCGATGTTAATTCTATACATTGCGTTTCATCTGCTGGTCACAATCACTCTCTTTTTTCATCTCCTGGCTTTCTTTATTAGTATTTCTTCTCATTAACAAGAAACAATCACCTGCTTGATCAGTGTCATCTGAAGACACTGTTTTTGTTAAAGCCTGATCAACATGTTCCATGTCGGCCACGTTTTGTGTTTGTAACATAATTTGAGAGCAATGTGCTTCCCTTGGGGCATTTAATTAAAACTAGAATTAAAGATCCACCAAGATTACGGATGAAGCAATAAACTGCATAAATCATCAGAGCTTGGGCTTTTAATCTGCATGAGTGGGAAATTACTCTGATTCTTCACACGCAACCTTATAACCAGAGTTCAGACACAGTACACTTGAGATGTGGAGATGCTTTCAAGAATAATGAAATAAAGAGTTTCCAAATATTGGAAAAAAAAAAAAAATCGTCAATCTTTGGTGTGAGCATCATCTGCCTTAAAAATGGATTTGTGGTTTTAGACGGAAATTGGCTGTTAGTATGTTCCAAGCATCTTGGAGAATATCCGATTTTTCTGCAGACTTTGGGATTTTACTTGAAAAGACAGCCAAACTGTCTGAAACCTACTCATTATGTAACATGTTACCCTTTCATAGTAGCATAGACACATTTCTCTGTAACACTTATATTATTGGGAAATGTTTACAATGTGCTACAATGTGCTACAATTTTTCCTGACACGCTATTGCAGAAATAAACCATCGCTAAACCATCGAAACAACCGAGATAAAACTGAGACTTTCCCCCTATAGCACTGTGCGTACTGGAAAGAGGATGCCGTAGCCAGTTCAGACCTGCTCATGAAGTACCTTTAAATGTAGTGAAAACAAAACAGAAATTGTGTTTCTAGGGTACCACCAACAATGTTTTTGAAGATCTCCTGACTTCTGTCAGCTAAAGATTTTAACTTCAGCAGCTCAAGCTACAGATAACAAAGTCTTAAAAATTGTTGTTTGAAACAGCCTAGAGTAAACAAGAGTGTCCATTAGGGATCAGATGATTGGCAGTGACAGTGTGACCTCTGCATTCAGGGTCAGTATGTTCACAAACAGGCCAATTCCAGTGGAGCCATCTTAGGTGCTGCCTGTGGCGCTTGTCAAAACTGATACCCAAGTATCTCCCCCACAGCACTTGGTTCGGTGGATAGTGAGCTTCTTCTGTGACTGGCTTGTACTGAACGAGAGGTTAACCTTAGAGGGAAGGGCAGGGTGAGGCGGTAAAGCCTGACCACTGGCACTCTCCTCTTCTCCTTATCTGAGAGCTAGGCGCTTGACCCTGTCCTGAGCGATCACTCTGACCGCTCGCTCTGCTTGAAACAAAATCAGAGGGCACTCGAAGCACAAAAATCCTCCTGACATTTGAGCCAGTCTATGGAATGCCTTTATCACTCATCACTAGCTATCTGATAGGCTAGAAGAATTCCCTTTTTCCAGATCACATTTTCCACCATCATGGCTGTTTCTCACCTCTGCCTCTCTAAATTATTAGTAATTCTTTATCTCTGAGAAAAGAAAGGTCTGACAAAAAAAAAGGGCAAGGCCACAGAGATGTATGAAACCGTATGCAGTCAGCAGACGATGGAGAACGAAGCTCGGATGAAAACCGTCTGAAAAAGCTGCTCGCCTTATCTTGTCAGTTTCCGTTATGACGTGTATGCACCCATTCAACAATGCAGCTTCACCATATTAGATTACACTCCAAAGACAAGAAAGAACCGTCTCCATGACTTTACAAGGCTTATATTAACGTAAGTATCTTTGTTTTTGCTACACAACGAAGACATTTGGGTTTGGGATCGAAAGATGAATGAGACGATACATCAGAATTTCAGCTTTTTATTTTCTGATATTTACATATAGCGTTAAATTACTTAGAACATCACACCTTTTGTTTGATGCCTCCCATTTTTCAAGTGATCAAAAATATTGGAACATGGGACTGACAGGTGCTTCCTGTTGCCCAGGTGTGCCCTGTTAGATTAATTGTTTAAACAATTAATAGCTCTGAATGTCTGAGCACCGGGTTTCACCTGTGAAGAGGGCATTTGTTGTGACAAAGGATAAACAAACATGAAGACCAGAGAGCTGTCTTTGGGAGAAAAGCAAGCCATTTTGAATATGAGAAAAGAGGGAAAATTGAGCCATTGCACAAGCACCGGGCATAGCTAATACAACAATTTGGAATGTACTGAAAAAGAAAGAAACCACTGGTGGACTAACAACCACACGTCAAACAGGTCGGCCAAGGAAAACAACAGCAGTTGCTGACAAACATTGTGAAAGCTGTGAAGAAAAATCCAAAAACAACAGTCAGTGACACTGACTAACAACCTCCACAGGGCAGGAGTGAAGGTATCACAATCCAATGTTCAAAGATGACTTTGAGAGCAGAAATATCGAGGCCATACCACAAGATGCAAACCACTCATAAGCAGTAAGAATCACAAGGCCAGACTGGAATTTGCAAACAAATACAGAAACGAGCCTCAAAAAAAATCAGGAACCAAGATTAATCTCTACCAAAGTGATGGAAAGGCCAAAGTGTGGAGAAAGAAAGGATCATGATCCAAAACATACACGCTTATTGCTCAAGCATGGTGGAGGTAGCGTCATGGCTTTTGCTTGCTTGGCTGCTCCTGGAACGGGCTCACTAATCTTTATTGATGATGTAACTCATGATGGTAGCAGCAGAATGAATTCAGACATCTGCAGAAACATTCTGTCTGCCAATTTACAGAGAAAATTTAATTGGGAGAAACATCATCATGCAGCAAGATAATGACCCAAAACACACTGCAAACACAACAAAGAACTTCATCAGGAGAAAAATTGAAGGTTTTAGACTGGCCAAGTCAATCGCCAGACCTTAACCCAATTGAGCATGCCTTTCACCTCCCGAAGAGGAGACTGAAGGGAGAAACCACCCAAAACAAACAACAACAACTGAAAGAAGCTGTGGTACAAGTCTGGAAAAGCATCACAAAAGAAGAATGCAACAGTTTGGTGATGTCAGTGGGTCACTGACTTGATACAGTTAAAGCAAGGAATATGCAGCCAAATAATAAGTGGTATTGACTTTAAGACCATCTGTTCCTATAGTTTTGCTCACCTAAAAATTGGGTGGTCTAGGGGGCATTGGGTGGTCTAGGGGGCATTCGTGGCCTAATGGTTAGAGAGTCGGACTTGTAACCCGAAGGTCGTGGGTTTGAGTCTCCAGCAGGTCCAGATTGTAGGTGGGGGGAGTGAATGACCAGCGCTCTCTTCCACCCTCAAGGTAGACTGAGGTGAGACCCTTGAGCAAGGCACTGAACCCCCAACTGCTCCCTGGGAGCCGCAGCAAAAAAGGCTGCCCACTGCTGTGTGCGCGCGTGTACTTGGATGGGTTAAATACAGAGCACAAATTCCGAGTATGGGTCACCATACTTGGCCACCGGTCACTTCACTTCACCAAGTTGTTTAACACATCTACATGTAAATATCAGGAAATGAAAGCTGAAATTCTGATTTATCATCACATACTCATCTTATTTAAACCCAAGTGTCTTCAACGTATAGCAAAAAAAAGTCTGTATATATATATATATGTGTGTGTGTGTATAGCACTGTGAGAAGCATAAGGCTTGCACTTTATTAAAAAAAAAAAAAAAACAGAATTAAATAAGATTTTGAAAAAAAACTATAGAGAATGCTCGTCTTGTACAGCGGTATGTGTGAGGTATACTCACACATACTATTTCATACTATTTTCTTTAAAACAAAAGAGAAAGCCTACAGTCAGAGACTGTTCAAACTGTGAACATTCAGTACCCCACTTTATCCAATTTTGTTTCTACCAACAGGAACCATCACTTCAGGCACATATTACAAGTTCCAGCAAATATTAACCATAATACAGATGACTAAATCTGATAATAGCTTAATGACTGCTGTTAAGATGAAAATCACTGAGCTGTCCATTACTGGCCCACTGTAGCTTCTTCACCTCGGCTCAGTTTCTGATGCTGGGCCGCTGAGGTCTCGTGCTTACCTGTCGAAGGTCAATGAACGCCAGCTGTAGTGTGTCCCCCTGGAATCCTGGCACAGGCTCGGAACTGGCAAATACTGCAGAGATAATAAGAATGCAATGTAATCATTCTCAGTACTCAATTGCCCCATTCTGAATTTTATGATGAACAACTGTTTAATATTATTCGTAGGGAGTCACTGTATTTGTAGATTCATATTGCCAGTGGCCATTTTAGGGAACTTGCATTGAAGAAGAATAATCTTCTCTATAGAAGATATATAGGATTGTTTCTTTCATAGCTCTTCTTTTAAGACATATCCATGATCCATTACGACATGATGAACCTGTAACCAGGTACTTATTCCTCACAGGCAGAGCAACAGATATGAATTCTTTTGTCGTGTTTTGCCTGGTGGGAATTGAACCACTGGCGAATTATATTGGATCATGAAACGGTGAGCCTCTCCCAGTTCTTGATTCACAGCCAGCGAGAGGCCTCAGGTATTCCCTGTGCTGCTGAACCCCGGTATGAACTCTGAGTCACCCTGTCATACCAGCTTCAGGGCTCTACAGGGGCAGCTACAAACACCACGCACACGACCCGCATTTCTCCACATGTGACAGTGACGTAGCATACGAACGGCTGAGCGGCTAGGGCACACAGGGCACAACGCTTCTCTCTCTGTCTTCCATGCGTCCATTTAACAGACTGATGATTTGCTCTGGTCTGTCCTGCATGAGATAAAGGAGGTCTTTCCATGTTCTGGTTCTGCACTTAAGCAGCAAACAATATGCACCTTTACCTTAAATGCAGAGGTGTTTGATAAAACCAACTTTTATGTCAGCTATATGAAAAATTATCAGTATGAACATGTTTACTGAATTACATCCTAAGAATGGGAATAAGTATAAGCTCCGTCCGTATTTTTTTTTTCCACTGAGACCAACAGGCACGTTCCAAAATGTCCACAATTCATGCCTAACAGATCACTGTGTTAGACAAATGTTTTTGTATCTACGTTTGGATCACATGGACCTTGTGATTAGCCCCTGATGCTAATAGAACACTCAGAAACCAGCTGGAACAAAATACAAGCTCTCAGTCATGCTGTGGTCATATGGGCACTAGTTTTACAACAAGTAGAACATACGCAAGAGTTACCTTCTGAAGTTTCACCAGCCACATTAAAAAAAAAAAACAGTAGTTACACTTTCATCAGTAGTAGTTCAGGAGAGCTAAGGGATGCAGCCTCCGTGCATGCAGCCATCTTGGATTCTTATACAGCTCTTCATTCATTTGCAATGACTATATTTAATATGCATGGACACTTTATAACCATGTCAGAGCCCAGACTGCAATGACATAGCAATGTGTGCAATGACAGTAACATTAACATTGGGCCTCATGTATACAGCCGAATACGAAGTGATTTATTAATACATCATCCTTAGGAGCGTTTACACAGGAAATTTGGTATTCATGAAAATCTTGTAATTTTGGAAAACGTACGGATCCTACTCATGCTCCTGAGTGTGTGTAAATTTACGAAGACTAACTAATGATTGCCGCAGTCTCATTTATGGAATACACGAGTGTAAATAATATTACGTTTATTATTTTTAAGACGCCTTTATCCAGAATGGAATCTCTATCAAAAACACATCCTCATGCTAGTTCACTTAGTCAGGGATCCAGAATACCACTGAGAAAATTTTGTGAAAAAAAAGCTGTTTTATGTAACAGGCATTAATTAAAGGATAAGAAGAAAGCGAGCCAACACAAGCCCATTAAGCTAATCATTCCATTATGACCAAAAAAAAAACCTGCCGTCACATACACAGAGGATGGGCCGGTCTGTCTGCGCATAGCCTTAAGCCGTAAACAAACACCTCAGCTGATGGAAGATTTAGTGCTTATGAAAGGAAGGGATAGTTAAAGACCGGCATGATTTTTTTCGGAGGATGAAAGCTGGCTTATAAATGGGTTCCGTTTGCCACGGCATCATCTTTTAATGCACGTTAGATCCAGCACGATGGGCAGAGACACTTAAAACTATTTTAAGAATCATGACCTGGGCACAGTGTAGATCTTTTTTCTCCTCTGTTTCAATGTCACACCATTTTCTTTTCGCTTCATTCAATTCACACCTAATTCACCTTTCCTGTAATTTGTCTCTAGATTCTGACCTTTTCAGATGCTAAGTAAATTTATTAGTGAGTCAAAATAACTTCCACTTCTGCCTTTTCTTTCAACATTAGTAGTCATTTCATGTCTCCAGCCCTCTGTGCAGCCTTTTATAAATACGGCGAAAAATATTAGTTTAGGTTCGGCTTACGCAAACACTTGCACACAATTTTAATAAAAGATTGACTAATGAGGACAGATGGTGTGCAATAACAGTGTGTGCAATATTCTGATTGCGACCACAGTGCAATTGGTGGAATAGCAGTATGTGCAATACCGCGACTTGTGTGTTCTTAAACTTCATTTCTCCTTTTGATACAAGTGGTACCGTCCACTTTATTAGGGACATGTGTAGCCCTGCAGGTTCATGCAGTTTTCCAACTCAGCCAATCATGTGCCAGCAGCACAATGCATGCTCCGAAAAACTAAAAACACCCAGTTCTGCAACAACTCTTTACAACCGTGGTGAGCAGAAAAGCATCTCAGAACCCACAACACACCAAACCTTGAGGTGGATGGGCTGCAGCCACGTCGGGTTCCACTTCTGTCAACCCAGAACAGGAATCTGAGGCTACAGTGGGCGCAGGCTCACTGAAACTAGACGGCAGAAGATTTTCCAGTCTTCAATATCTTAACTTTGTACTGTTTGGAACATTGTCCGTGACAATGACAGTAAATTCTTGAATCTTGAATCAATAGTAGTTAAGAGTGTTTCATTTTTAGCACCACTACTTCAAACAGACTGAAGACTAACATGACATACTGGATGTGTCACTTGTGTAACAAGTTCAGATTTGGAGACTGAATATTATAAACAGATTTTAGAAGTTAAATTAAGTTGCTTTTGTTCTCAGCAACATTGTGTCCTATTTACCCAGTCCCTCTTATTACATTTCAGAGCAATACAGCTATCACCCATTAACGGGTATTTTAAAATGCCTCATGTGTCTTGCTCTTCATCTTAGTGATGATCAAGTTCTGACAATGGAATCACAAAAAGCCCCTTTTCCATTCCAGGGGTTCCTGCTGGTGGGTGTGTGTATTATGGGACACTGTAATTGCCTTTTGGAGAAACCAAGCTGAGCACAACAAGCTGAAAACATCCTGTGACTATTGTACATGTGTACAATTTACAAACAGAACACAAAGTTCAAATAGATTTTCTCTCCATGAGGTGGTTTTTAGATTTATGCCACATCCTTGCCATATTTTCTCCATCTTTCATGGAGGCAGATGGCATGGTGTTGGCTTTTACTCATCCCGCCATATACTGTGTATACACAAAATGAAGTGCACCACAGTGAGGACGTGCCACATTTGGGCAGCCGAAATGCCATCGTATGCCTGCATGCCAAGAATCCATGAATTAAGATATGTAAAAAAGGTCTTTAAACTCAGTCCTGACCTTGACTTGTTTTCCCTACTAAAGGTAACGAGAGCTTTCAGAATGTGCTACATGCCTTAGATGTGGATTTGTTTACTTTAGACACGTTTCTGAAAGCAGTAATTATGGTGTCTGGGTGAAATCCACTAACAGGCAGAGTGGCGTATGAAATGACGCAAAGACGTCACGGTGAAAGACCTACTTAAAAGAAGTCTTTTTGGGTGAGAAAACCAAAGCTGCTGGCAATGGCAACAGGATAACATCTATTAAAACATTCACCCAACTGAGCATGTGGTCAAATCCACACATAGCTCCTCTGTATGCTTAACCAACGTTTCTAGATATCTACAGATAGCATTCCGGACAAAGATTAAATCTAATTCTCAGACCAAAAAGCCTTTTTCAGTGGAAAATTCCTCTCACTGTAATTTCACCCAAGAACCTTTTTTTTTAAAAAAACAAAAATAACCCTTATTTACGGTAAACTTAAGAGATTTCATACTATTTCACTGACCACGAAAGTAGTAAAACCTGTAGAAACTCTACTCTGACAGACTTTAGTTCGGTTATATTGGTTTTCCACCAAGTGGCTCAGCTCGACATATTACCCATAACCCATGACATTTCTGCTGTTCTACCACGATGAAAGC